TCCGAAGACGTTCAGAGGACATCCTGAGGACGTTCGAATGTCCTCTGAATATCCTCTGAATATCCTCTGAATACTCTCTGAATATCCTCTCAATATTCAGAATATTCAGAGGATATTCAGAGGATATTCGAACATCCTCAGGACGTCCTCTGAACGTCTTCGGATATGTGTGCTGTCAGGGTAGAGCTATATATATATATATATAGCTCGATATATCGATAATCGCACGAGTTAGAGGTGGTAACCGTATTTTCGTCACTTTTTAATTTCTTTTATTTTATCTTGACGCAATTAAATGGCAGATTCTACACGAGAAAAAAGAGAAAGAACTCTACCCTGACAGCACACATATCCGAAGACGTTCAGGGACATCCTGAAGACGTTCGAATGTCCTCTGAATATTCTCTGAATATCCTCTGAATACTATCTGAATATCCTCTGAATATTCAGAATATTCAGAGGATATTCAGAGGATATTCGAACATCCTCAGGACGTCCTCTGAACGTCTTCGGATATGTGTGCTGTCAGGGTAGAGCTATATATATATATATATATATATAGCTCGATATATCAATAATCGCACGAGTTAGAGGTGGTAACCGTATTTTCGTCACTTTTTAATTTCTTTTATTTTATCTTGACGCAATTAAATGGCAGATTCTACACGAGAAAAAAGAGAAAGAACTCTACCCTGACAGCACACATATCCGAAGACGTTCAGGGACATCCTGAAGACGTTCGAATGTCCTCTGAATATTCTCTGAATATCCTCTGAATACTATCTGAATATCCTCTGAATATTCAGAATATTCAGAGAATATTCGAACATCCTCACGACGTCCTCTGAACGTCTTCGGATGTGTGCTGTCAGGGTAGAGCTATATATATATATATATATATATATATATATATATATAGCTCGATATATCGATAATCGCACGAGTTAGAGGTGGTAACCGTATTTTTGTCACTTTTTAATTTCTTTTATTTTATCTTGACGCAATTAAATGGCTGATTCTACACGAGAAAAAAGAGGGAGAGTTCCACCCTGACAGCACACATATCCGAAGACGTTCAGAGGACATCCTAAGGATGTTCGAATTTCCTCTGAATATCCTCTGGATCTCCTTTTTTAAATCTCTGGATATCCTCGGGATATTCTCCGAATGCCTTCCGGATATAGTGTGTTACTAGGGTATCGCTCACATTCGGAATGAAAAGAAAGCTATTCCGCCACCCCCTCCCTGTCTCTCCTCCCTCTCGTCTTCGGCGGATCGATGATGTGTCGTAACGACGCTCGCCCGCGATGACGTTTGTCATTGTACTCGCGTACTCGTGGCCATGACGGAAGCGTGCGTGCGGGCGTGCGTGAGTAGCGCGCGCGCACGTGTGCACGCAACCTCCCGGGGGGGTGAGGGGCGAGGGGCGAGGAGAAGGGGGTCAGGCAAGAGGGGGATTTACTACACAAAACTTTACCCCACCCACGCCTACGTTTACGCGCGATTCCGACGAGTCCGCGTCAAATTCCACGCTCGCGCGTCATTGATCAGCCCCCTCCCTGGATTTTTTACTTTTTATTAATAATCCGAAGCTGGAAATGGGATGAAAGGGAAGGAGAAATTCGAAAAAACGCGATCGTGAAAAATAAATGCTCGTTATAAAAGAGGGGGACAAAGGGAGGATATTCCATAATTTATTGGGGGGCGAGAGAGAGAGAGCTTTACGCATATCGGAATTATTTTACATGACGTCAAAAGGCGTGCGTGCGTGTATATTTATATCCCAAAAATGTCTCATCTGAATTTCCTTTCGATAATTATTCGAGTATTGAATCTTTGTAATTTATCTGTCGCGAAACTGGGTCATTAAATAAAACCGGGAGATACGATAATCGATAACGTCAAAGTTACTGGGCTAAAAATAATGAAGGAAAAGTCTAATATTATATTTCTTCTATTTATCGCGCTCGCGAGAGAAAGAGAGAAATGTAAATCTCTGTAAATTCACGACGAGCTGTCATTTCCCATAAACGAGTGTATTATAAAAATACCCCATCGATGATTATCTAGTCAAGTGTCATTTTTGCACCGAAAAATTCATCGTTATCAACCTCCTGAAAATCGATAAAATTCATATGTTATTTCTATATTATAAAGAGAGAAATGTAAATATCTGTAAATTCGCGACGAGCTGTCATTTCCCATAAACGAGTGTATTATAAAAATACCCCATCGATGATTATCTAGTCAAGTGTCATTTTTGCACCGAAAAATTCATCGTTATCAACCCCCTGAAAATCGATAAAATTCATATGTTATTTCTATATTATAAAGAGAGAAATGTAAATATCTGTAAATTCGCGACGAGCTGTCATTTCCCATAAACGAGTGTATTATAAAAATACCCCATCGATGATGATTCAGTCAAGTGTCATTTTTGCACCGAAAAATTCATCGTTATCAACCTCCTCGAAAATCGATAAAATTCATACGTTATTTCTATATTATAGAGAGAGAAATGTAAATATCTGTAAATTCACGACTGTCATTTCCCATAAACGAAAAATACCCCATCGATAATGATCCAGTCAAATGCAGTGTTCGCTGTTATCTAAAATTATATAGATGAAATTTTGGCGTCATCTTATCTTTATATAGATAATAAAAATATATATTATTATTATCTGTATCTTAGATAAAAAAATATTATCTTTACTAAATTATCTAGAATAATTTTCATATAATTTTGGTTTAGAATCATAGCACATAAAAATACTTAAATAGTCGAACTTAAGCAGTAAGCGATAAAAATGTATAAATAAAAATATGAATGCCTACATTTTTATATATCCCTTTTATAATTTACATTTAAAATTTATAACTGTGTTTACATAAGCAGTCTTCAAAATTATTATCTAAATGAATCGCCATATAATTTTATCTTTTATCTAGATTGTATATATTTGAAACAAAATTATCTTCATTTTATCTAAGATAAATTTACATAATTTTATCTCATCTTTATCTAGCTAATTTTTAAATCATCTAAGTACAACACTGGTCAAGTGTCATTTTTTGCTCCAAAAAATTTATCGTTATTAATCCCCTCGAAAATCGATTAAATTCTTCATATGCTATTTCTATATTATTTAACGCGAGAAATAGGAAGTTCCGGAAAGAGTCCGAGTTTGATAAATCGATCTACCAAATATATATATATATATATATATATATATATGTAGGCGTGTGTAATCCGATGCAGGGGAATAAGAATAATATTTGCGAAAGGAGGATAATCGCGGAACGGAACAGAAGAGGTGCAAATTCGACGGGCGTTAGTTTCTGTTTGCGAAAATCCAGCCGGATTTTCGAGGAAGAATAAACGAGGCGCGGGGATAATAACAAAGTTTTAAAAGTACGCTATCCATCTATATACATATATATATATATATATATATATGTCACCGATATTCGTCTCCTGCAGGCTCTATCCGCCGGACGTTAATCCTCCATCTTCGTCGATGAAAATCCGGTCGAAATTGCGCGAGTATATATAAGAGCAGAAAATACCACTCCGATGTAAATGAAGAGAAAGCAAAAAAAAAAAAAAGAACCGTATCCGAGTGTGGCTTTTTAGTGACGGCTTCGCGCCCACGTATAGATAAGGGTTAATTGGTATATATAGATAGGTCAATTATTTCGACGTATTTCGACATTATGCGACATATACCGATTATCCGAATTAATCCGTTGTGCGACTTAATCGTTTCCAGGAAGCTGATATTTACCGAACGACGACATTTCCTCTCTCTCTCACTCGCGAGTTTCGATAACGTTATCGCCGCTAAATTTCGCCCGCGTCAAATCGCAGTGAATTATCTCCGTACGTCATCCCCCGTATGTCGTCACGAAATGAGGTAATCGCGAATTTCTGACTGACCGAACAGACGGCCGTGAAATATGAAAGAGAGAGAGAGAGAGAGAAATGAAACATGACGGGGAGAAACAATAGTTTCGATGATAAGGTTAATTTGTGGAACAGCGGGACATTAATATTTAATATTCCAGATGCAAAAGGTGAGTCTGTTTTCGTACAATTTATACGTTTAATCGAATGCAATTTCGTGTTGCGTTGAAAAAAAAAAAAAAAACTGTTACACATCTACAATTTTTTCCTCATTTTTGCACTTGCTAATTTTGCCAAGACAGTAAAATTTGAAAAAAAAATAAAAGAAGCTGCGAGATAAAATTTACAAAATCAAGACAAGTTTACACATATTTTTTTACCGCTACATTCTACCATTCATGATAAATTTTCGCTCTAAGAGCAGTGCGGGCCTGATGGGTTTATTTTCCACACTTTTTGGTGTTGCTCCGATTAATTAACTACCATTTGCATCACTATATTTCTTACTTTATATGTTTTCATTTTTTTATTAATTATTTTGTTCAAGTAATTTTTTATGTAAAAAGTATAAATTACTTTAACAAAATAATTTATTTTATTACACATTTATAATTATACATTTTACATATATATATATATATATTTTTTTTTTTATTAATTTTATTAATTATTTTATTAAAGTGATTTATATAAAATGTATAAATGACTTTAACAAAATAATTGATAAAATTAATAAAAAAATATATATATCTATGTAAAATGTATAATTATAAATATATATTTTTGAAGAGAGAGTCGCTGAACACAAAGATGTAATATTTTACGTCCAAAGCATTGACGTAATCAAATCAATTTATATCACCTTGATTTACCATGCATCATATATATCCTGCAGATATCTCTCTTCGATATATCTATATAATTTTCCGCGAATGTAATCTTTTTTTTACGTCACGGCCTTCGAAGGGGTAATTTTCCGCATATGCCGAACGTAAAGCGGGAAAAAGAAGAAAGGTGTCAGGACAGATGCAATTCCATCAATCTGACCTGACACGACTCTCCTGGCCATTTATTTGCGTGCTTTCGCACTTACCTTGCTCGACCGTAAAGTGACCTTTCCGCCGCAGCGTGCGCAGCACCGGACCTCGCAGTAGTTGCAGATGTGGCCGACGCCGTCGGCGAACTTGGTTTTCAAGCATAAGTTACACGTGGCGTTCAGCTCCACACCTGCCTTCTTCTGCTTCTCCGAACGCATTCGTATCGTTTCCTCGAGAACTTGCACCTCATCCTGCTTTCGCCTGCGCAGACACACAGAGAAGACTTATTAAAGAAAAGCGATATTACGGACAACTGTCAAACATGTCCCTATCAGCACATCTCAATATTATACTTAATTTTTTTTCATGAAAAAAAATTAAAAATTAATTATTGGTCTTCTATCAACGGATAATTATTTTCAAGTATGAAAAGGGCTAATAAGAGCCAGACAGATTTTTATTTTCTTGTTTTATTATATTATTATATTTTTATATTATTATTATTATTATATTATTATGTTACTTTTGTATAGAGGAATTTAAAAATAATTTTGTTGCGTCTAAAATCTGCGCCTGATTTTTACTAACCTTTTCATGTCTAAAGTATCTCAGAAGCTTTCAGATTTATTATATTTTAATTTCTTTATAATTAAAATATTAAATTAATTATATATTCGTTATAATTCTTGCTGGGCATCGAACATTTTTTCCTATTAATATTTAAAACTCTGTTTAAATATACTTGTTCATTAAGAAAAGAAGCATTAATCATATATATAATCATATTTTATTATATTATTATTTTATTTTTCTATAAATAAGTATAGAGGAATTTAAAAATAATTTTGTTGCGTCTAAAATCTGCGCCTGATTTTTACTAACCCTTTTCATGCCTAAAGTATCTCAGAAGCTTTCAGATTTATTATATTTTAATTTCTTTATAATTAAAATATTAAATTAATTATATATTCGTTATAATTCTTGCTGGGCATCGAACATTTTTTCTATTAATATTTAAAACTCTGTTTAAATATACTTGTTCATTAAGAAAAGAAGCATTAATCATATAACTAATCATATTTTATTATATTATTATTTTATTTTTCTATAAATAAGTATAGAGGAATTTAAAAATAATTTTGTTGTATCTAAAATCTGCGCCTGATTTTTACTAACCCTTTTCATGCCTAAATTTGTATCTCAGAAGCTTTCAGATTTCTTATTTTAATTTCTTTATAATTAAAATATTAAATTAATTATATATTGTATAATTCTGTAATTAATATATATTCTTTATAACTTATATTCTTGTCGGGCATTAACATTAAAAAATTTGCTTAATAGAATCAGTGCACATATAAATTGAATAATAAAAAAATTGACTAAAACTGAGAAAAAAGCGCCGTCATAGATCTCGACGCCTGACGAAATTCCTCGGCGGAGCCGAGAAGATCTCGCCAGCTGTTTCTAATATGGAAACTATGTCCCGCGAGGACGGCAGCCAGATTTGTCAACCCTAACTCCAGCATTTGCAGACTCCCGGCGTTCTACCAAATCACCTGAGATAACAGTTCTCGCGCGCTCCTCCCTCTCTCATCTCTTCGCTCGCAGATTTATTTCTGTTCCGTAAATCGCGCCTTGAAAGCGTCCGGACGACGGGCGGTCGGGCAATCTCACCCTGAATGTGCAACGTGACGACGCCGACGTCACCCTTATCGCCGTCTTCGTCGTCTCCCCCCACCATTCCCATCACTCTGCGACTACCAGCATCCGCTCGCATCCATTAAGCCAATTTAGGACCGTGTGTCCTGTACAGCGCGAAATTAAGCCGGCGCGATTCTCTGTCAAAGTCGTTCGATTTATCGTCGAATATCGTGACATAAAGCTTTCGCTGCATCAATCTTACTTAATCAATTTTGATTAGATATATACATAACTACTATATATATATATATATATATATATATATATATATATAATATTTCAAATATATAAAATATAAAATATATAATATATATATATATATATATAATAAAATATATAATATATATAAAATATATGAATGTAAATAAACAAATGTCTATTATATATTTCAAATATATAAAATATATAATATATATAATATATAATATAATAAAATATATAATATAATAAAATATATATAATATAATAAAATATATAATATATATAAAATATATGAATGTAAATAAATAAATGTCTATATTTACTATCTCATAGATAGAATTTGAGAGAAAAAGCCAAGAACTGACTTAAGATAAATAAAATAAAATAACAAATAAATAAAAAAATTAAGATAAATTAATTAGAGGTATTTTCTTATTAATATTCGGTGCAAACTAATTGATGCGTTTACTTTGATTAAACAAATTTCCTGTCTCTGCATATATCATAGTTGCAAATAATAATTTATCGAACAACATTGAATCACTGAACAGGAATGTAGATTGCCTCGTCTACATCTAGAGAGAGACTGGTTGTCGATAATATTTATTTATCAACTATATGACGTCGCATTGGATGTGACGTTCACGTGACATTGTTGGAAGGGAAAAACAACGCAATTTATATAAGTTTCCGCCAGGCGGTGCCGCAGTCGTTCGTCGAAAAATAACGCGTGGCCTTAAATTTCAGGCCACGTTTTTATTTCGTACCCATTCGACCGTAATCGCATCTCTTTTGCTTCTGTTTTTTTTTTTTTTTTTCTTTCTCTCCGCCCTCGGCTAATTACGGCGAAGAGCGCCGGCGAAAAAAAATGCAAGTGAAATTAATGAAGCCTGCGCAGAGATAAAATAAACATCGTCTGCGCACACACAATGGCACACTCTACGACGTCGGTACATTTTAAATATATCGCGATCTCCGCAGTCGGATAAACAGCCAGCCGTGTGTATCAAAAGAATCCTCTCTTTTTTATTTGTTTGCGCATTCATTCCGCTTTCAGGAAGGGAGATAGAGAATTTCTCTAATTACCGGCTTTCGGTTTATGCTATATAAAGGGTCGTTAAAATCTCACCGCATCTCTTTATTCCCAGCAATCTAATTCGCGTATACATGCATATACACGTACGAGTGTAAAATGTAAATGAAAAATGGAACTAGCACGCCAATCAGCATAATTGAAGAAAAAAACTGCTTGTCGATGCGGCAAGTATTTAAACGATGTACACACGCGTGATTTACTATACGTGTATATAAATATATATATATATATGTTAATGTGTGTGCAGGGCCTTCGTTAGAAGACGTTCGTGCGACAAATAAGTTATAATCGCCTGCTTCGGCCCTCGGGTAGGAGTAAAATGCGAGCGCACTTGGCACGCTGCGGCACTTTTTTTACGGTTCGGATCTTGGATCGCGTATATACTGTAATATTCGGGTATTCACAATAATCACACAAGTTTCAGGTACAAGTATACTTTATTTATTGTCCTTGCTGCTTTATGCGTACTGTCGTGCGTTACACACACTCACTCGCTCTACTGCGCATGCGCGTACACTACATCCCTTCTTTATTTTTATTTTTGATAGTACATTTGTTTAATTATAATTGAATTGAAATGAGTTTAAATTAGATTGAATCAACCAATATAAAATTAATAAACCATAAAATTAAATTAGATAAAATAAATAAAGTTGCAATAAAGTTATAGTAAGATAGAATAGATTCGTACATTATAATTAGTACATCTGTATTTCATTTATTATCTCCCATTCTCCATTTACTTTTTTCAGGTGCATAATATTTCTTCTAAACTCTTTACCCGTAGAGTCGTTTTTTATTTTGATATCTCCTCCATTTACTTCTGTTACCGTGTGGGTGGTAGGATTAAAGTTCGAAGTTAATTTATTCTCTTTATTGATATTTCTTGCATATACCTTTTCTCCTACTTCCAAGTTGTTATCTGCAGCTTTTCTCTTCCGGTCTCCGTATTCTTTTCCTATTTCTTTCATCTCTCTATCCTTGTCTCTTACTTCTTGGTCTATTATTTTATTTTCAATGTCCATCTTAGCTGGTATTTTGTCTCGAAATTGTCTTTGATAAAATAATTCCGACGGCGATTTCCCTGTTGTAAGATGAGGTGTGCTATTGTACATCATTAAGTATGTAAATATTTGTTCCTTCCAGTCTTTTTCTCTAGTTGACTAATCTTGAGTCTTTTTAGTATATCTCTATTTTGTCTCTCTACCTCTCCATTCATTTGAGGCCAATATGGTATGGTGTGATATAGCTTAATCCCGCATTCAGTGCAGTATTTTTTAAATGTTTCGCTTGTGAGTTGGTTTCCATTGTCACAAGTTAGAGTCGCGGGAAACCCCAACCGTGAGAAAATTTCTTTCAGGATTCTGATCGTGTCTATTGCCGTTATATTTCTTGTAACTTTTATCTCTTTATATCTACTGTAATAATCTACGATGACTAGTAAGTAATCATTACTGGGCAAGGGGCCCAAAAAATCTATTGCTACATCTATCCATGGCATGCTCGGAAGTTCCCTTCTTCTCATGGGGTTTGGTGGATTAGGGGCAGAGACTAGTGTACACCCTTTGCATGATTTAACCATGTTCTCCGCGTCCTTATCTATTTTCGGCCACCATACTTTCGTTCTAAGTCGATTCTTCATTGCAACTATTCCCGGGTGTCCTTCATGAGCGGCTTCTAATACTCTTTGTCGTAATGGTGGTGGGATGACTATTTTATTGCCTCGTAAAAGAATGTCTTCATTGAAGCATAACTCCGCTTGAAAAATTTTATAGTTTCTAACCGATTCGTCCCAGCTGTTGTTATATACGCCATTTTTTACTTTTAGGATTTCTCCGTCGATTGAAGAAGCGGCTTCGATTTCTTTCAGCGGTACTGCGATTGGTGTGCTATATTCGACAATCTGATTTATATAATTTTCGTTGTCAAATGGTTTTAGTGTGTTTGTCTTGCATAATCTTGATAATGGATCCGCGATGTTGGATTTGCCTGGTTGATAAATGACTTTATATTTAAACGCCTGTAGTCTCAAAACCCACCTTTCTATTCTGGCACATGGTTTGGATCTCTGTCCAAATATTATCTCCAGGGGTTTGTGGTCACTAATGAGTTCAAATTCTTTCCCGAAGAGATATATTTTAAAGTGTTCCACTGCCCACACGAGAGCTAGTGCTTCTTTCTCTGTTTGGCAATATCTTTTTTCGCAGTCTGTAAGGCTTTTGCTCCCGTATGCTATTATTCTGGGGCCATTGGAATCGATCTGAATGAGTACTGTTCCCAAACCGACTGGGGAAGCATCTGCTATTACTTGCGTTTTATCGTCCGGGTTGTAATAACCAAGCGTTTTTATTTTTGATAGGCTTTCTTTTAGGTCTTGGAACGCTATATTTTGATCTGATGTCCAGTATTTTTGAATATTTGTTGTTTTGTTTAATTTTAAGCGTAGTAATTTCCTGAACGGTTCTGTTAAGGTAGCCAGGTTCGGTATCCATTTACCTACGAAATTCACCAAACCTAGGAAACTCTGGAGCTCTTCGATGGTTGTAGGGCATCGACTGGTTTGTATTACTTTTATGTATTTTCCTAGGGGTTTTATACCTTCCTCCGATAATTCATGTCCTAGAAATTCCACCTTTTTGGTTTTATAAATGCCCTTCCTCTCGTTCAGCAGAACGTCATTTTCCTTCAGGACTTCCAATACTTTTTTCAGCCTTTTATCATGGGAAAGTTCATCTTGTCCGTACACAATTATATCGTCGATGAAGTTTGATGTGCCTTCGCATCCTAGAAGCATTCTTTCAAGAACCTTTTGAAATATCTCTGGGGCGCAGGATATCCCAAACATTAGTCTTTTATATCGGAAAAGCCCTTTGCTGGTGCTGAAAGTTGTTATGTACCGAGAATCAGGGTCTATCTCTACTTGATGAAATGCGTTTTTTATGTCTAATCGGGAGAAATATTTCGCTTGTCTAAAGTTTGGTAGCATCTCGTTCATCGTAGGCAATGGGTGGTTTTCTCTTATTATTGCTTTATTGGCACGTCGCATGTCGATGCAAATACGTACTTCGCCGTTTTCTTTTAATACAGGTACCATCGGCGATACCCATGGTGAAGGTCCGTGAACCTTTTCAATGATGTCGGAATCCTTCAGTTCTGCCAGTTTTTCGTTAACTTTATTTTCTAAAGGAATCGGTATCCTTCTATATGGTTGGATTACCGGTTTGACGGTTTTGTCTATTGGTATTGTAATTTTGACGTCTTTGAACTTCGGAAGTGGTTGGATGGCGTTTATTTGAAGACCGATTTGCAGTACCCCTAGCTCGATTGCGGTATTTTTCCCTAGTAGGTTTCGCGTCCCATTGCGAATAACGTAGAAAGTCGCTCTCCGTGGGGAATTATTGGTGTTAATGGTGATATCTGCTTGAAATGATCCAATAATGTCTAAAGGTTTTTTACTTCCATATGGCAGAAGTACTTTATCTGGCTTTTTTATTTGTTGATAAGCCTTTACCTCGTGTTCCTTTAGATATTTCCAGGTCTTATCGGTGATAACATTGCACTTGCTTCCTGAGTCGATTAGCATTTCAATCTTTATTCCTCCCACTAAACAATTTATAACCGAGTCCTCATCCAGATGGAAAATATAGTCTACTTCTTCAGTTTTAGTGTCTTCTTGCTTATGTTTGTTAGGTCTAGTTTCTGTCTTTTTTTCAAATATCTTTCTCTTTTGTTTTGTCCTGCAATATTCTCTGAAGTGGCCAAAGAGATTGCATTTGAGACATCTTTTATCTCTTGCTGGACATTTCTTGTCATACTGTGAATGCTTGTTGCTGCCGCATCTTGAGCAAGTCTCGTCGGCATTCCTATTATTTGCTTGTTTATTTGAACTTTTGTACTTTTTAAAGTCTAATTTGTTGATTTCATTATTATTTCGTTCTTGATGACTTAAGTCTTTTTTATTAAAGACTTCTAGTTGTCTGCTGACTGCTTCCAACGCGTTTGCTTCACTAATAATCTGGTCGAGTGTCATGTTGTCTCCTGTTGATAGTATTTTTTTCCGTAACTCCGTTGAATTGCATTTCTCTACTATTTGGTCTATTAGGTGTTCTTCAATGTTTGTAAACTTACACTTGTTTGCTTGGTTTCTTAATTTGAGTAGGAATTTTTCAAATTTTTCACTCTCTTCTTGTTTTATCAGTCTAAATAGATGTCTTTCATAAACCTTGCTTTGTTTTGGTGAAAAATATTCATCTAATTTATTAAGTGCGACCTTGTAGACGTCTACTCCTTCTGCTTCATCCACGTGTGCTCCTGGTATATTATAATAGATATCCTGTAAAGTTAGTCCTCCGGTGTGTAGGAGCGTTGCTCTTTTATTTGCTGGTTTATCTATGTTCAAAGCTAATAGATATATTTCCAGTGCTCTCTTCCATTTTTCCCAGCGTGTGCCTACAGAAGCTGGGTCACCGTCACAATCAAAACAATTGAGACTTGTCAGCGTCGAGGCTAGTTGAGCCATTTAGATGATCTGAAATTAAATTTAAAATATATATTTTTTTTTCATGGCCCTTTATAGCATTTGCTAACAGATTTCTTTGCGTGGCCCTTGAAATATTGAACCATAAAGAACTTTTGTTCTTGTTGCGTGGCCCTTTAGCATTTGCTAACAGATTTATCTGCGTGGCCCTTGTAATGTCATGATTAAGTAAGCGACAATATTGAAACATGAAGAACCTTTGTTCTTATTGCGTGGCCCTTCAGTTCTTTTGACTGCATGGCCCTTGTCCAGGATTGACATACGTTATACCTGACGAAATTTTTTTTTTTTTTTTTTTTTTTTTAGTTATAATAATCTCGTCAAGCAACCGTAGTACCCGGAAAGTTTGCACTTTCATGCGTTATTGACATTCTTTATGTGCGTGGCCCTTTTATTACTTGCTGTAATCAATGTGCGTGGCCCTTTGCATACTTGTAATTAATTTATTTCGTAATGTATGATTCATTTAGAAGTAAGTAAAGTCTTCCGACATTGTCATTTGTATGTATCTTCTAAACTGACTTGTTTTCTATAGCAAATTTATAGACGTCAATTGACAATGCACGGAGGTTAGTTTACTTTACTTTTTTTTTTTTCTTTCCTTTTACCTGTTTATTTACTTCTTGGCACTCAAGTTCTTCTTCCTCGTCGCCACTTGTAATATTCGGGTATTCACAATAATCACACAAGTTTCAGGTACAAGTATACTTTATTTATTGTCCTTGCTGCTTTATGCGTACTGTCGTGCGTTACACACACTCACTCGCTCTACTGCGCATGCGCGTACACTACATATACGAAGGCCGAGCTTCGACCGGGGGGTTGTTGGCACTGCGACGTGCCGGCATCGTCTCATGTTTCGATAATAGAGAGCATATATCGCGTACAAAACAAAAAACCAAGCTTGCCCCGCACACATATATACGAGAGATTTTGGAAAATTTATTTTTTATTTTTTCACGCTCTAACAATAAATTCTCGACCGCACGATATTTCTCTTGGAAAAAGTCTCCCGAGTTTGTTCATAAATTATTTTAATTAGATTAAATTAGAATAAATTATATTAAATTATATTCATTAAATTAATTAAACTATATTAAATTAAATTATGTTATGCTTTATATATAAGTTCTCTACCTTGGTGTAATTTGCACGTTCCCTAAAAATAAATAAGGCGAACTTGGAGAGATTTTTAATTTCCAATTTTTCTAGAAATTGATCCTTCTGTCAATGAACGAATATTCAGGTAAATAAATAAATGTTAAAAATACGTTGAGACTTTCGTCTCCGTTCGAAATAAAATACAAAGAGTCTTTGTATTCGGAAACCTCCTGAAATATAACGGGAAAGAATGTTCGCAAGACCCAGCAGCTGCTATATCTTTAAATTGTCAAACGCAGCTGTTACACGAGTATCTATAAATGGATAAAAAGATGAAAAATTACGCATCGACAAAAGAATTAAACAAAATCTTCTTGCGATAACGATCCAGACGTGGACCTTTAACCACCCAGACATCCTCAGAATTATCCTAAAAATATTCAGGATGGTCCAGGACATTTGTAGAATATTTTAAATTATTATTATATATTTTATGAAAATTTAATATCCATGTATAATTATTTTTATTATGCGAAACAAGTTATAGTTTGATAACTATCTCAAGCATATATGTATTTTTTGAAAAAAACTACAAGAATACGAAAAACTACTGGTATAATAATAGTTCTTCAATAATACATTATTGAAGAATTATTGTTATATTAGTAATTTTTTCATATTCTTATACTTTTTTATATAGGTAAATTTTTTCCGATATAAAAATCAATATAAATACACATTCTTTTCATATTCTATAAAAGTCCTTGGAATATCCTGAGAATGAATTAGAGATAAAAAATGAGCGATAATTTACTCTTCCTTAGAACATTTGGAGATTTTAGGATTAAAACAGGATATCCTAAGGATATTTGTTATATCCAGTGTTGTGCTTAGATGATTTTAAAATTAGCAAGATAAAGATGAGATAAAAATATGTAAATACATCTTAGATAAAATGAAGATAATTTTGTTTCAAATATATACAATCTAGATAAAAGATAAAATTATATGGCGATTCATCTAGATAATAATTTTGAAGACTGCTTATGTAAACACAGTTATAAATTAAATGTAAATTATAAAAGGGATATAAAAATATATGTATTCATATTTTTATTTATAAATTTTTAACGCTTACTACTTAAATTCTACTATTTAAGTATTTTTATATACTATGATTTTGAACCAAAATTATCTAAAAATTATTCTAGATAATTTAGTAAAGATATAATACTTTCTTTTCATCTAAGATGCAGATATAGATAATACATATTTTTATTATCTATATAAAGATAAGATGACGTCAAACTTTCATCTAAATAATCATGTAGATAATTTTATTTAGATAACAACAAACACTGCATTTGATTGGATCATTATCGAGATGGGGTATTTTTATAATACACTCGTTTATGGGAAATGACAGTCGCAACTTGTCGCGAATTTACAGAGATTTACATTTTTCGCTCTATAATATAGAAATAACATATGAATTTCGATTTTCGAAGAAGTAGGTTCGAGGACTAACAAAAAACTAAAATTTATCTCCTTTTACCCCTATAAAAAAACACCCTGAATAAAACTAAGGGTACTTTTCAGGATTTCATTAAAATAAAGAATTTCATTAAAAATCGAAATAAAGGTATTCACAAAAATTCATCTTTTATCTGGATTGTATATATTTGAAACGAAATCATCTTCATTTCATCTAAGATGTATTTACATATTTTTATCTCATCTTTATCTAGCTAATTTTAAAATCATCCACAACACTGGATATAACAAATATCCTCAGGATATCCTATTTTAATCCTAATTTTTATGAATAAGTTTTGCCCTTTTCAAGTCTACTTTTACTGGAGTATTAGACCGAGTTTTTTTTTATTTTAATTAGCGCGAAACGATATTACACATCTACTGCACTAAATGCTCTCTCTCTCCTTACCCTTGACCGTTTGTCAAATAAAGGAAACGGTCGCGCTACGCATCCTGACACCGTAACCTAAATCCCGAGTTAGTCGATAGAACAAAAGCTGGGGGCGCGTCGTGTTACAACTCTCGGGGCGCAACGCGCGCACATCCGTCTATATTTCTCTAATTACTTTATCGATAATCGAGTGACTCGCGCACGCAACGTTGATCACACTCGACAAAGAGTCGCTTTCCCACTTTTGCATTATGAGCGATCGTGCAAAGGTCGCGACACGCAAGAATTGTTCTTCTATCGATATGAGAAAAGGGTTGAGAAGAGGGAAAAAATATACGGACAAAGTACCGAAGATATAAACCCCCTATTTTCGTAACTTTCTTACATTTCCAAGCGTGTCGCTTTCTATTATTACTCTATTACTCTATAGAGATACGAGTAGTTCCCCTACAGCACGAAATATTGCATAAATATTTCAATATTGCGCCATATTATACAAATATTGCAGCAATATTGTGCCAATATTATAAGTTAATATTTTATTGGAGACATTGCAAAGTATTACTGCTATATTATTATGCAATCACGTAATTCTTTCATTTTCACAGGGGACTTAAATATTAAATTGATTGCTCAGAAATCGGACAAATAAATGTTTGAATAAATGAAGAAAAAAAATAAGGAATATTCTGCAAAATTTTATAAATTCACGTTTGCAGAAATAAATCAGCATCATTGCAGAAATATTGCACAATATATAGTTTAGGAGCGGACATATCTATATTATGTCAAGCTTTTAGGAATATTGCATGCAATATTTCAATCTTGCAAAACAATATTCTTACAATATTTTAGCAATATTTCGTGCTGCAGAGGTTTTAATGTAATGTGATTGAGACTCCCAATCGTACATCAATATAGAAGATAAAAAGAATATAAATATCTTATATTGCTTGGATTGTATAAAGTGAGATTTTCTATTTTTTATTTTTTTTTTTCATTAATTATAATTAAAAATTAATTTTTCTGGCAAGATTTTTGTATTATATATGAAGTATTTTTATTTTAACATATTTTATTATATGTAATATATACACTTTTTTTGCAGAAATTTTCTTTTATATTATATCTTGTAAAGGTGTTCAGTTCTATATCGAGACAATTTTAACATAATATGATTGAATCTAATCGTCCTATATATAACATCATATATAGAGAATAAAAAAAGCTATAAATATCCATTTATTTATTCTTATTTTGATTAGCAAAAATAAAATTTGTCCATTATTAATTATAATTAATTTTTTTGAGCATTTATTTCTACATCGTCCAGACGAAAATGTTTTTTATAAAATATTTATATACTTTTTTGTAGATTTTTCTCATATTTATACATCCCCCTTCGAGAAATGAATTATAAAAGATACTAATACAAACATTTCTACAACGATGCTAGTATTTTATAATAAAATCCGCGAAACTACGTGCACAATGAAGAGTGTTAAGCTATCGGAAGGAAACATTGCAAGGAAGTAGAATTCTAGAGTGTTACGCGCCCGTAACTCTATAAAATAAGACAAAGAGAGACTGAAAGATCAAAAGAGGGAGAAAGAAAGGGAGACGTTAATGCGCGATAACCGAGTAATGGAACGAGCGACTTCCGACTCGTCGAAATGCGCATTCGTTGCTGCTCTTTTATACGATTTATACGCGAGAAATATACTATATACGGGTTTCTCAAGCACCAAGGGGATTATGCATTTCTAGGATCGTTCATTTATCTCTCCCTCCTTTGCCCGTTTCATTTGCGCGCATCCCCCGGGAGGATCCGTCCGCGAGAGGAATCTCCGAAATCGGGAGATGATCGCGGAATAATATATATATATATATATAATGGAGAAACGATACCCGGTTTAATTTTCAACTTGCGTTGAACGGTCCTATTCCGCATCGTCGTTTATCCGCGGTATTTGCACTTTCATCCTTCCCGGCTCTTCAAAAGACGCGCTACCTCTATCTCCTCCGGAGAGAAGAGATATACTATACATATACAGGGTGTATCTAAATAAGTACGAATTTTTTAGATGATTCTTTGACGAAAATTAAGGAGGGTTTCTTATATAAACAAATATTCTTATATCCCCCTCCGAGGAGTTTACACTTTTCGAAAGAGGGAATGCTTGCTTAACGCGTTTCATTTTTTTTTCTTAAAGACTATTGATGTTACGAAAAAAATGAGAGACATAAAAAAATTTCTAAAGGAATGAGGAACTTTTCAATGCATATTTTTAGATGATCATATTCCGGTCGATTAGGATAAAAGTTCGGATAAAAAATTAAATAGGGGTTGTTAGTTTCATTCCTTTATAATGATACAGCAAGATCAAAAAAATTATAATAAATATCCCTTTTGTTAGTAAAAATATCCATCAAGTTTCGTTATTTTTTGTCAAAATCCCTAATAGCACACATATCCCGAAGACGTTCAGAGAACATCCTGAGGATGTTCGAATGTCCTCTGAATATCTTTCGGATATGTTGTGCTATTAGGAATTTGAGAAAAAAAATAAAAACTTAATTTTTCCCAAGTTTTATTTTTTTATCTAAAATCCCTAACAACACACATATCCCGAAGACGTTCAGAGAACATTCTGAGGATGTTCGAGTGTCCTCTAAATATCTTTCGGATATATTGTACTATTAAGAATTTGAGAAAAAAAATAAAAATTTAATTTTTCCCAAGTTTCATTTTTTTGTCTA